AGATAAAAGCCAGCTGAGAAACCGGAGTTCTTTGCAGGAAGCAAAGAAGTTTTTGCACTCAAGCCTTGTGGACGTTTGTAGTATCTTGGTTGGTGTTTGGAGACTCTCTGTGTTTGAATTATTGCTTAGTAATTTTATCTGTTGTTCTTGGCAGCCTTGCAAAACCTTGGCAAGGCTCTTTCTTATTGGAGCTAATTGGCTTGAAGCAGCCTTTTACCCGTGAAGGAACGGGATTCATTAAGAAACATTAAAAGGTTGTGCTGTTACCTTTGTCTCATGTTTGCTTCCTTGGAACCAGGTTTGGGTCAGAACAGGTTGCAGTGGACTATATCATCCAGTCTTAGGATGGTCAACAAATTATTTTTCTTTCTCTAATAATTAAGCCTGCTGCAGTACAATGTAACCAATAATCATTCCCCATTTTTTAAAATCATCTTATGTAAGAATGTGACCCTTATTCTTTCTCTAACATCACCGAATAAAAAGAATGTGGCAGGATTTTTTTTTAAATCTCTCTCCCCTCCACACAATACACATTCAGTCACTATTCTTTATTTATACTTGAAATCTGATATAATCCCTGTTAATTTACATGGCTCAGGCAATCTCTGTCTCAGTTTCGACTGGAATCTTTCAAGAGTCATTGGGTGAGTAAACCACCCCTTGTTGATATTGGAAAGTGTTTTGGCCCAACACAAGAACTTAAATTTCTCCTACTGTAGCCATGTATTTCAGAAGTTCTTAAAACAGCAATTTTCAGGTCATTTGTCGAGCAGGAATTCGAGAAGAAACATATGGTTTTTGATTATGCTGTGATTTTCCTCCCAATAAACGGGGACTGGAGGGGATTGATTTTATTAAACAAAATTTAGAAATGTACAGACTCAAATGAAGCAAAACTGAAAGCATATAGAAAGCGATCTGTTTCCTGAAAATTGGAAAACTAAACACGAAGAAGCAGCTATATTTATACAGACCGTGCATTGGAAGAGAGTTTCTTTATTTCATATTTTTAAAAGAAAGAAAACCACTCGTGTTATCAGCAAAGGATCAATAGAGTCTATCTAAAACTATAAAATCAAGTACAATTTAAGAAGAGCAATAACTTTTATAGCAATTAAGAGGTGTAAAAAGAACTGAATCAGCAAACATTAGTCCAAAATCACTTTAGACAAGACTTAAGTTCCAAACAGATGGTGCAATCTTTCCTTCCTTCCTTCCTTCCTTCCTTCCTTCCTTCCTTCCTTCCTTCCTTCCTTCCTTCCTTCCTCCCTCCCTCCCTCCCTCCCTCCCTCCCTCCCTCCCTCCCACCCTCCCTCCCTCCTTCCCTCCCTTCCTTTCTATCAAACTGTAAAACAAGATCTCAGTTTAATAAATATGGAATCCTGGCCCACAGAAGAACCAGGAAAGGGATCAGAATTCTGAACTTCCTTTGATGAACCTCTTTCGGTCTCCATGTCTTGGCCTTGGACTTTCACAAGATCCTTTATAGTTGTCCATTCATTCTTGGAATTGAAGCCCACATATTATAATGTTGCCAAGGTTGAAGAACACTGCAATAGAGAATGAAAATGACCATAGGAGGATGGGGATCCATGCCTTCTGCTCTTAAACTCCCAGAGGTTGATATCTTCCAACAGCAAGAAGAGCATTCTTGGAGGAAGAAGGTGGTACGGCAGACATGTGACTTCAAGAGTGTTGCTCTGGTCTCACTCCATCTGTTGAGGTTCTCCTCCTCCTTCGGTACAGGCTTCAGACAAAAGGCCTAAATGGGCTTCCTTGGATTCTAGGAAAGGAGGTCTTCCAATGTTAGAACTTCAGTAGCTCCTACAAACAGGATAACATTTTAGGGCCATCCGGTCAAGAATATGCATATGGGAATTAATGAATTCACAGCAAGGTAAGTACACTTGTTAAGACACATATATCCTCCCAGCCATTTATTTATTCTCATTCTTCAAATGGGGAAAGGAAGACCTAGCTTGGCCACATGAAAGGAGCTTCTGATAGACAAGGGAGCTGAGCTCATGCTAACCTTCCGAAGACCACGTCACTGCCCATCAATCTCTCTACATGTTGGTAGTGGAAGAACTTCAAAACTTGCTTCATGTTCTTTTAAAGGTTTTCCATGTATTTCTATTGCGAGACTTCAGTTGCGGTTCTGTTCCTAATTTCTGGAAAGGAGCTCCACTGAATCCAGTTGGCATTGATTGTACTAGACACACTCGCTCTTGTTTGGGTTTCTTAGCCCTACTAGGGTATTGCATGGTGTTAGTCTTCTCTGACTAATATTGTACTGCCCTCTAGCGATCCTATTTCTCCTTTGACATTCTCTCGCAGAGTCCCTGTCTCCCACGGAATTCAGCTGAACATTATTGACCTGAAGGACCTCTGAACGATGGAAGCTGCGCTGAGATCTACAGAGGAAAAACCCCTCTTCTTCAAATGTGGTGCTATGTCTGGTGTTACTTCCATACTGCATACGCACAACAGAAGAATTATCCTCCATGAGAAGTCCACACGTTTATAAGCTCTGTCCATGATTCATATGAGAAATGTAGGGTTTCTATGAGAGTGTGTCACCCTTTTGGATCATAGAATGAAAAGACAAAGAGAAAGGAACCCCATTGAATTCAATGGGGCTTTTTCTCTGGGAAAACAGATGTAGGGTTGGAGGTAAGGGTTTTACTTCAGAAAATGCACCACTTTTTAATTATCGTATACTCTTTGTATTCGTGATGGTAAACCTGTGGCATGCGTGCCAGAAGTGGCACGCAGAGCCATCTCTGTGGACAAGTGAGTCATCGCCCCAGCTCAGTTCCACTGCGCATACGCATGCGCCTCCCGCCAGCCAGCTGATTTTCAGGTATTTGCTGCGCGTGCCTGGGGGGGTGGGGTGCATGCAGGAGGTGCGTGCGCATGCACGGGGTGGTGGTGGAGGGAGAGCAAGGGTTCCACACGCATGTGCAGGGGAGCACAGAGGCGGGTTGCGGGTGCATTGCATGATGGCTTTCGGCACACGACAACAAAAAGGTTAGCCATCACTGCTTTATATGGACCATATTTATATCAAGTCAGTATTTCTGTTGGCAGCTGAATTAGACACCGATGTGATTAGCCCTTGTAATTCCAAACTGGTTGGGAACTTACAAACAAAGGCAAATATACGTGACCCAGGATAAGTTCTGCAATATCCAATCTGGGTCAATCACTAGAACCAGAGGTTTAGCCTTCTGAGCTTTCAGACTTGTGCCGGAGCCCATCCTCGGGGAACTTCTCTCTAGCGGAGTGTGTGCTTCGGGCTATTCTCTTGTGTGGTATTTATATGGTGCCTTCCATGAACACAGCAATCCATCAGTCGGAAGGCACCACATAAATACGATGCATAGCAATAGCCCAAAGCATGCCTTCCGATAGAGAGAAGTTCCCATGAGGATGGGCTCCAGAACGAGTCTGAAAGCTCAGAAGACTAAGCCTCTGGTCCCAGTGACCAACCTAGATTGGATCTTGATTAGGAATTAATCAAACTTTGGGGAGAAGCCCTGTTGAAAAGAAATGAAACCCTTATTTATTAAGACCCAAAATATACATCAGAAGAATTTGCCACCATTTCAACAGATACTGCGGGTCCTTCAACTAGTAGGGGCAAAAGATATAAAAAAAAGCCTTGAGTCAAAGCATCTGATGAAGTGAGTTGTAGCTCACGCAAGTATATGCTTTTTAATTTTTTTAAAAAAATGTGGGTCAGAAAAGGGATCAGGTCCAAAATGGTATAGGGTCTCCTGCTTGAGGAGATTGAACTAGATGACCTCCAAGGTCCCTTCCAATTCTTGTTATTTCATTATACCAGAGTCCTTTCTAACCTCTGGCAACCATGGATTATCATCTACAATGTCACTGTTCCATTATAACCCTTACTGGCTCTGGCTATGCCAGTCCTTTAGCCTAGCGTAACAGAGCAATTCAAGGGGCTATGGATTGGGCACCGCTAGTGAGAATCACCCGTGCTAAAGTCTACCACAGTATCCTACATTATGAGCAGCGGTGGGATTCCAAATTGCGCGCTGCCGGTTCTGCACACGCGTGAAGTGCACGTTAGGCAGCAGCACTCGAAGATTGCTCTCGCGCAGCAGTCAAAGATCGCCTGAGCTGTTTTTTTTTTAGTTCAGCTGAGGCGCAGAAATCCACTCTGTTCCCCAAATCAGTTGAGCTAAAAATCAGTGGAATAAAGAACCGGAAAGAGCAGGGGTGGGTGAGTGAGGGCAGCCAGAGGTGGTATTTGCCAGTTCTCCAACCTGGTCAACATTTCCACTACTGGTAGGCCAGAACCGGTCCAAACCGGCTGAATACCACCTCCGATTATGATGATGTATTAGGACTAAATGAGACACCTATAATAAGTAAACTGCAGAGCATATTGATTTTTCTCTGGGTTAGAGTAACTATTTACGTGAAATGGAGGAGGAGGGATATTGGGAAGGGGCCCACCACCCTTCTTCAGTTTTCTCTGCATGATAGATGGAAATACTGAGGCATAATCTAGCTGCTTGATTATGCCAAGATTTCTCTTCTGATGGTTCTTTCAGCGTTTTTGCAAGGGCCAAAGGAGAAGCATTTGCTCCTAAACAGTGCTAGAAAAAGGGAGTTTTGCTAACAGGTCGTTCCATCAAGCCTCAAACTCCAGATGAGAATCTCTGGCATTAAACTGCAAGACAAAGCAAAAGGATTTGACCTTACAAAATAGTTCCAGTTTTTGATTTTGTAGGTTGGGGGGGGGGATTTAATTCCAGTGGTGGTTATTTTGTTGTAGGGAAGAACCTCTGGGTCAAAGGAGAGAGGCTCTGGGGCAAATCTAGTTTTCTGAGCAAAGATGTCCATCTCAGATCTTGCGACTTCAACACAATTTTGTGCCCCGGTTGATTCTGAAGGCGGCAACCACCAACATTACTTTTGTTTGGTGTTTCTCCAGTTTTACCTTTCCTCGGGGGGATTGAAGATGCTCAGCATCTCTTCCTTGTCTTCACAACCTTGCTGTAATAGCGGATGGGAAGCCCCGAGGACCCAATGAGATACACATCAAAAAGGTAGGCCGTCCCTGCTTCCAGGCCCCTGATGGTTTCGGTAGTCACTGCTCGTTGCAGATTGAGATCGTGGAAGAACTTGCAGAGGACTTTTTCACTCTTCTGCCTCAACTCCGGCCCAGAGCACCTATCAACCTTCCTGGTGGCCACCCACGCTTGGTCCTCCTCAATCTCCTTCTTGTAGATGCAATACTGGCTCAGTTCCTGAGTTCCAAGCCAGGCGATGGTGACTGAATGGCAGCTCCTCAGTTTGTTGAAGGACTTGATCTTTAAGCTCTCTGGGAGAGCTGGGAAGAAAGGCCTATGGAAGAGAGAGGACACCTGAACCTTCACGGATGCAGCTGAAGTCTCAGTGGGCCAGAGATGGACCAGGTAGGTGTCTCCCAACCTTCCTTTCAGGATGAAATGCCTCAAGCCAGCAAATCTCTCTGACATCAGGACTTTCCCGTCCTTGGATATTTCCACTTGGAGTTGCCCGCTGCAAGACTGGAAGGCAAACTGGACCTGCCTCTGCGTTGCCTGGTACAGCAAATTGTACAAGGGCTGTTTCCTCCCATCCAGCCTCAACTGAATCACCTTCCCGTCCTTCAGTTTGCTCACGTTGGGATTTTCAAGAGTTCGGGCAAAGGCTCCGGTATAAGCAACACTGGTGTTGGTGAGGAAATTGATGATGAAAACATCAAAGTAGTACTGAATGCCGGGAGTCAGGTGGGACACTGTGTAGGTGTTTGTGAGCCCCACACAAACGTGTTTCACCTGGGCATTGCCACCTTTGTAACTCATGCTGACTTTGCTCTTGGACTGGGCTTTCAGTCCCTGAGAGGTGAGGCTATCTGTGGAAGGAAAGATCCCCAAAGAAGCAGACAGCTTCACCCCTGAAGGTTGTGTTGCTGTTTCTGCAGCACACCAAGTCTTGAAGTTGTAGTTTTCATTCACCAGGAGACAATAATGAACGTTTCCTTGGGATGGCAGGACACTCGGGCTCTGCTTCCAAGTCAGAGTTACCGTGGTGGGGCCAATCCCAATGACGTCAACGCGGGGATCCATAGGCAGTTCTGGATAAAAGTCATTAGATGTAGGGTCTGTGGTCAGATATGCTTTAATCTGGGTGTCTTTCTCGATGGAGAGGAATTCAAGCACGTAGACTGTGGAATGATGAGATGGTCCTGTGTAGCTTTCCACCGAATTACCTCGATAACTAAAGAGAGTTTGCACTAACTTGGAGCCCTTCTGGAATGGGAGGACTTCCTGAGCATTCAAATGATCTGCCAATTAAACAGAAGACAGGCAATGTTTTTAAAGTTAATGGAGATGGGAAAGGCATACATTGATCAGTGAATACAATGTCGATACCTTGAGGAAGTCTATACTTCCTTTTTGGTTTTGGTTTTGGGAATCTGAAAACAGTTTCAGGTCATGTTTAAGTTGGGCTTGAAGTCTATGTAATTTTCCAGAGAGCGCAATGGAAGGAGGTTTCTATTGCTGCCTTGTGCCATTCTTTTTCAACTTTCTAGACTAGGTGACCTCTTGGAGTCTCCCCTCCAAGTATTAACCAGGCCTGGTCCTGCTTAGCTTCTATCCAAGCAGGGATTTTTTCTGGTGCTGAGACTTCAACATTAAATGTTTAATTAGGGATAGAAATCTTGTTAGTTAATAGTCGGTACAAATCAGGTTCTAAATGAATCTAAGTCAATCTTCCTTTCATATACTATCTAGATCTTGTTAAGAGAAAGAGGAATGGAATGGAAGAAGGAAAAGGAGAGGGAGGGAGGTGGGGGGAGACATTATACATCTATTCAACTTCCCTCTTGCTTACCAGAAATTGTTTTCCCAAAATAGTTTGCCGATGGCTTAGGGACTCGTATACTCCACTCAATGGGGATATCACACGGGGTTACTCTCACTGTGAAGAATGCAGAGGTTTTGCTTTCTTTTAGAACAAAATAGCACCTGGAAACGAATGGATGTTGTGTTCATTTTACATCACAGAAAGCGGGTGAGGAGAGAGACCAAACAATCTTAACATCAACAATGCAGTCAGAGTTTGATGGAATTATTCAGCTAAAAGAATCCCTGTGAATATTTTACTTTGGAATCAGTGTGTTTATATGCAAGTTTGATCAATCTCTCTATTTTTTATTATTATTGTTTTATTTTTTTAAGACAAACATATACACATCAATCTCAAGAGAATTTTCCAAAGCATATAATGGTTGGAGGGCAAATAATGGTTGGAAACTGAACAAAGAGAGGAGCAGTCTGGAATTAAGGAGAAATTTTCTGACAGGGAGGACAATTAACCAGTGGAACAGAAGTTGCCTTCAGAAGTTGTGGGCACTCTAATTATGGGTGAGGTTTTTAAGAAACTGGACAGTCATTTTTCTGAGATGGTATAGGTTCTGCTTCTTGAGCAGGGAGGACTAGATGACCTCCAAGGTCCCTTCCAGCTCTATTCTATTCTAGAATCAAAGCACCTTCTTATAGGGAAGGCCAGAGCTCCCTGAGAAGTTGGTTTTCGAAAACCTTCTCCGAGGTCCATGGTAAAGCAACACTTCATTGCTGAAGTTGTCCCTCTCAACAGGGTTTGGGAACCTGAGGGATGTCATAAGACAAAACCCTTAGACAGAAGACTTTAATCTCACACCCGTGAACAAAAATCATTCTGTAGAAGAAAGGGACTCTGGAATCTACCCAAAATGGAAAGGAAAAGACGGCCTCTCTCACCTTTGAGGCATTCCTTTTGAAAGAGCGATTGTCATTTCCTTGCCTTCTCCAAGCATCAACATGGGATAGAAACGGAACATCTCATTCTTCAGGTTTTGCTGTAAACCAACAGCCATGATGAAAGGATGGCTGAAGCACATGGCCAGAAGAAACCAGCAAGGCAGACACGTCTGGGCTCCAGACATCTTCTGTGTTGCAAACCTGGGAGATAATAATAAGACAGCAAATGGGCTTTCTTAAATGTAATGGATTGTTAATCGGGTGTTCAAGCACTACAGAAGACAAACAGATTGGTTAGACATTTTACTTGTGTTAGTCGGCCACTTTGGGTCCTGCCAAAATTTGATATAACTTGGAAATCCATCTAGCATAGGAGTTGTCACCTTCCTTGGTCACCAGAAAGGATCTTCAGTGATTTCGAACTGCAAATCTGGTGGAGGAACCAAATCTGTGAGAATCAGATGTGTATCATCTGTGACCAGCTGTTTGGAAACTAGCCACAGGCACTGTTCTTCCCTTCTCTTGTTTCTTCAGTGGCTCCCCCAGGAAACAAAATTACTGGTTCTACAATCATCTCATTTCCCTCCAATGGCAGAGTGATTCCTTTTGTGTGCTGACACATTTATTGCCTACACTTTAAGGAGTCTTGAGGGTGCGACTCACTTGGTTATTTGGAAAGAATATTATTTTAAATGTCAGGAAAGGAAGAAAAAGGAGAGAAACGTGCCGATGAGAAGGACCAAGGATGGAAACTACAGAGGGATACTGTAGTTGGGTCTGCAGGCAGGGGGTGCTCTTGGAACAGCTGGAGGGGCAGCCCCTTAAGCTGATCGACAATGTTAAAGAGAGAATTTCCCTTAAAAAAATCTGGTTTGCAAGCTATCAAAGGGAATACATAAAACTGCACCAATATTAGAACCAGAAACTCACTTTTGAAACTGTATTTTTTTTTTAAAAAAAAATATTACTTTGTGAGACAAAAATAATTATCAACAATATCAGTGATGTTCCATAATACTTTTATTTATTTTTTTCAATTAAACTCTAAGTCACATTTGATTCCCAATTTGGGGGGATAGCTATTCTTTTAGGTTTTAAATGGCAAAGATTCGGTTTGAGCAGCTTAAATAAGTCATACAATATGAAAAATGTTTTAACCGACTTTTTTCTGCGGCATATTCAAACCCTTCATAACAGTATTCAGAATATATATTGAAATGGCTTCCCCCCACCCCCCACCCCAGGTTCCAGGATTGTGTCCTCTTAGGACAGAAATGCCTGGACCTCTTTATGCGGTAATTAAACCAGGATTTTGTATGGGTGCTGCCACCCGAAAGTAATATATTGAAAAGTCCGAGAAAGACAGATCTCCTAGACGTTAAGAAAGATAACAAAGAGAACAGGTTTATCCTGAACAGATTTGGTTAAATCAATCACTCTAACAACTTAAAAGAAGCAAGGAAGAGTTGATGGGATAGGTGGCATGCTATTTTATTTCTCTTACCTTGAGCCCGATGTTCTCAGGTAATTCTGTGCAAAGATTCGGAATGACAGCCGCCGAGCTAGACTTTTGCAGAGCTTTGCTGGCAGAAGCAAAAGCATCACTGAGAAACATATTCAGCTGAGCAAAACTGACCTTCCTGAGAGATTTCAAAGCAGAAGGTTTCCTTGAGAGGAGAAAGGATTCTTGAGGGTTTTTTTTCTTCTTCTTTAGATGTGAAGATCTTTGAAAGCAGAAGGTCTCCTTCCTAGGGCTCCTCCAGCCCTGATTTCCTGAAAGTGAAGACAGGTCTTCTTCTGCAAAGGGAGGAGGAAGAGAGGAGCTGGAGGGCTGAGAAGGAGGCCAGACTCCAGGGTGGCTGCTTAAAGAGGGTCTTTGGTAGAAACAGGGAAGGGGGTCTGTGGGTAGATGTGTTCATTTAACCCTTTCGTAGAGTTAGCTTGCTTAAAGTTGTCTCTTCTCCTCGCCACACTGTTTAGGGGATTGGATGGGTTTGACCCACTTCCAGAAATATGTTCGGCCACAATTGAGTCAAGGCAAGATGTCTCTGATGGAATTGAACTTTCAGTCTTTGAAATCAAATCTCTATGCATAAAAGGGTTTTTCCCCCCCAATATTTCTATAGGTGCAATAGTTTGATTTTTCTAGCCCGTACCTTAAAGACCTTAAGTAAAGTAGCTCATGCCTTAAAACCTTAGTAAGATCATATTTGGAGAATTGCATCCAGTTCTGGTCCCAAAAAAGATGTTGAGACTCTGGAAAGAGTCCAGAGAAAAGCAACAAAAATGATTAGGGGGCTGGAGGCTAAAGCGTATGAAGAATGGTTACAGGGATTGGGCACGTCTAGTCTAATGAAAAGAAAGACTAGGGATGACATGATAGCAGTATTCCAATATTTGAGGGGCTCCTGCAAAAGATGAAGGGATCAAACTATTGTCCAAAGCACCAAAAGTCAAGACAAGAAATAATGGTTGGAAATTAATCAGGGAGAGAACTAAGGAGAAATTCCTAACTATGAGAGCAATCAATCAGTGGAATGGTTTGCCTTCAGATGTTCTGGGTAGCTACATCATTGAAGGCTTTCAAAAAGAGATTGGACAACATTATACATTAAAAGAGTTGGAAGGGGCCTTGTATGTCATCTAGTCCAACCCCGCCGCCCAAGCAGAAGATCATTTCTGACAAATGGCAGTCCAATCTCTTCTTGAAAATCTCAAGTGATTCTATTATTCAATTATTATACAACTCTATTATTCTATGCTCTGTGATACAAAGGAGAATTTGTAGCTCTCCAGGTACAGCTAGACAAGAATTCCCGGGGTCCTTTCCATCCAGTTTGCTGATTACAGACGTTGGGGATTGTCATTCATCTACATGTGGATGAACTTTCTCATGCTAAAGTCCTATTAAAACCGCATTATGTGCAGATCAGCAGCTAAGATGGAGCATCAGCTAAAACCAAGAAAAGCGACCTTTGATTCACCAAAATACCAAGTCAGGATGCAGGTGATGTTGAAATGAATTGGAGGTCAGTTTGTGTTACTCTAGCTTCCGGTGCTAACTGGGAATTGTGGGTGCCAAGAAAACTGAAGGAAGAGCACCCCCAAAATAAGTAACCTCATGACTAAGCACTTACTGAAGAGCCATACAATGGTGCCATATAGTTTTAATCTCAGTAAAACAGATGAGCATCTGTTTTATTAAAACCATTTATTAAAAATATTTTGCAGCTGCATCTGAAACGTATTTGTTCACATGTAAATTTTATTTTTTTTAAAAATGTAAACCTGATTTTGTTTATCCTCACTGTTCAGAGTGAGGTACTGGAATCATGTCTTGGAGATCCTGTAGTTAACTTTTGTGGTTCAATGGCAGCCTGTGCAGACGGCAGTGGAATCAGACAGTGGGGAAGAACGGGGACCAGTCCGGGAGTCTGGGGAGGACTTGGATGAGGGCCCTGTGTCTGATACAGAGTCGGGTCCAGGACCATCTGGGAGTTATGTGCCGACTCCGGAGCCTCCAGAGTCTGGCAGCAGCGAGGAAGAAGAACAAAGGGAGCCTGTTCCCAGTGCGCATGTGTGCAGAGCTGCCAGAAGGCAAGAGCTGCTAAGACAAAAGGGGCAACTTGGAAGTAAGGCTTGGAGGTGATTGCCCCTCCCCTAAGGTATAAAGGAAGTGCAAAGGTAGAGAAACCTTTGCAGGAAGCAAAGTCGTTCGCTCTGTTCGGATTAAGCCTTGAAGCTCTGTGTGGACTTTGTACTTTGGTTATTTTTTCCCCAGTTAATTTGGCACTTTAGTTGTTGGCAGCAATTCAAAGGAGAGAAAGGTGGGTGCTTATCTCGAGAGACTGTTTGGGACTCATTGTGGGCTGGGAATGCACATAATTCCCAGTGTTGAAATAAAGCAAGACTTGTTTGGGACTGAGTGTGTGCTTAATTATGGTCTCAGGAAGCCTTGGTCAAGACAAGAAGTCAGGTCAGTTAACAAGTTTTCTATGGATGAGATGTTTAGACTTGTCCTCCAAACCCCTTTCCACACTAAAATCTCCAGGATGAGAAGGTGAAAGAGACTGCCTTCTGGGATGGCTAAGGATGGCTTTCTCTTCATGATGCTCTACTGATGCTCTTTGGGACCCAGAAGCAGAGTTGCAGCCTCATAATCCATGCTGGATGGTCAAACCGCAGGAAAATGCCCGAGGCAGGTGGTGGATAAGTAGAATTAAGCTGATAAGCAGGGATTATCCAGCAAATATGGCTGCACATTAAAAATAAGAATGGTTTTCAGACTAAAAAGTCAAGATGAGTATTGAGGAGACCTGAAAAGGCCCAGCAGAATCCTTGGGGCTCCTAAGACCCATATGATATTTGCAAGAGGACATCCTGCCCAACTGTGTTGGCTCCATTTAAGAAAAAAATGAAGTTGACACAGCATAGTGCTTTGTTTGCAAGTATGTCCAACCTATTGATTAAAAGGCAAGAATAAATGGGGTGATAGTGAATATCCTGCTCGACTAGAACTGGTGACAAGGAGCACCTTCCTTCCTTCCTTCCTTCCTTCCTTCCTTCCTTCCTTCCATCCATCCATCCATCCATCCATCCATCCATCCATCTGTCCTTCCGTCCATTACTCCATCACTGCAACTAATCTCATAGGAAAAATAGGAAGAATTTTCTGAAAGAAATATTTATGGAGATTCTCTGTCATTCAGGTCATGGCTGTCCCAAAAGTGCTTCTTCAGAACTGGAGAAGCTTCTTGGTTAAGAAGTGAAACGTCTCCAAGAAAAAAAAGAAAAAAGTCCAGTTGCCTTTTGGAAAAAAAAAAGTACTTCTGGGACATCCCTGAAAGAAATATACAACATACAGAAAAAACAAATAAGCTTTCAAAAGTAGAACAGGCTTTTCTGTCTTTCTTTGTTACCATTGAAAGTTCTCTTTCTCATAAGGTCTCAGCTATGGTCACAAAGATGAGGTACAACCTTGGTATTTCATATGGCAGGGTCTCTTCCACCTCCCATTGTTGTAAACTGCTTTTGTGCTATGGACTCACTCCTATGACCCATCAAGGCCTTGCATCGAGATGTTCTGGAGATGATGTGAATTCAGCATGATCCCAAATGAATTTCAGTGCAAGAAAATGGACATTGGGTTTCCCTAGCGCATAGGGTTTAGTACAGAATATGGATT